GGAGTTTGCCCTAGAGACTTCCTGCAAAACTCTTTATGTCAGTGTAGAGACCCTCAGTGACTTTGGCTGGCATTAGATCAAGCAGTGTAGAGAAATTTCATACTAAAAAGTGTTGGTGGAGTCAGATGAGGTAGGTAGATGCCTATAATGAAAAAGGAAAATCTAAAAGGGTGGCATTAGCAAACATTACTAGCTTTTTGCCAAAGGGTTTCCAACCTGGACAAAGTGAGTTTCAGGAGAATAGCTTGGATAAACTGGACAGCCTTGAGATACAAGAACAACATCAACAGCTTAGAATATGTAATTACACAAAAAGTCTGACATACACGGTGATGGTAAAAACACAATAATCACTCTTGTGAAAATATTTTTCCTAGTTACCTAATTCAATGTAAAAAAACCCTTTACATATTCTTTATTTTTCAAAAATGTTTTGAACTTTATACTGCTGCCTTACCATAGTCTATCGGCATAAATTATGATTGTATTTTCAAGTAATCATCCTGCTTTCAATAGCAATGTTTCTTTCTGCATTTGAGAGATGGAGTGACTCACATTTCCTTTTCTCTTTTCCTAGCAGTGAAAGTAAAACTGTCCAAGAGGAGAACAGTATTTGACGACCAAGAGTATAACATTGAGTGCCAAGTGGAATTTATTACTCAGGGCTCACTCTTACCTTATGAAACTCAGAGTATGATACAACAGTGGCTGCTAATCAATGAAAAATGTACACAGAAGATGACTCTGACCCATCGGCCCATGGTATATCTCCTTGTGGGGAATATTGAAGAGGGTATCATTTTAGTAAACCAAGTTTATCATTGGCAGAGGAAGGACTCCCAGCTGACTTTGGCCACTCAGAAGTGGAGATACCATAAATGCTTGTAAATATTTATCGTATATTTGTAAAAAGATTATTATATTTCTCATGCTAAACCTATCTTGTAAATAGGAATGTACTATAAGTGAAATGTAAAGCTTGAATTTCCTTTTGAATTGTATTATAAGTTTAACTCCAGTGTTATTAGGCTTCCTTTCTGCAGAGTTACAGCCACTCACATCAAGTTTGATCTTGGACAGCCATGGATAAGTATTTCTTTGAGTTACAGTAAAAAAAATTCGTAATGTGTACAAAAATTGGCATAAACTAGTTTTAATCCAGCTGACTATTTTTAATGTACTTTTCCATGCTACCCACTCTACCGTTTTGTCCAGTAATCTAAACCTTCCCTTGCTTAATATTTCATGAGTCCATTTTCTCCCGTTGGAGTATTTTGAAAAAAGACAGCCCCCTGCTGGTCGCCTTTGCCGGATAGAATAAAGAGGAACGTGTAAATAGGGTATGGTTGGTCCCAGTCACAAGATTTGGTTACTGAGCATCATTTCAGAATGACACAGCTGTCATGCACTTCAGAATGACAGAGCTGACAGCATCCCAAGGGTAACACCTGAGAGAATAGGATAAACGTAGATTTTGAAACATTTTTATTCTTGTGTGACCATCTTGAACATAACATGCTTCAACTGGAACATAAATCAGATCCTCACTACTGAAAAGTCCCTTTTCATTTTTAGACACATAACAAAAATCAATGTATAAACTTTACCACTTGTCCAAGTGGTCTGCAGGTAACTAATGGAGTCACCAAACCAAAAAAAAAAAAAAAAAAAAGTGAAATACTGCAGTGGCCACGTGATTATCAGTGCAATACAGTAACATTGGAAGCTACACGAAGATGGAAGATGGACAGAATTTTACTTAGTTTTATAGATATGTATAATAAACAAAATAACACGTAATTGATAATACATAAATGAGAAACTATTTCAGTAACACAGCATCTGTTATGGCCATATTTTCTTGAAACACATACAGGGAAAGCTTACACGCAATAGATTTCTTGGAAGTCGCACCTGTAATGATACGGGTTCCCAGTGCTTTCCCCAAAAGTTCAGGTTTGTATCGGGTTATCAGGTTTGACGACACCTGTTCCATCACTTTCTACCATGAACTGGGAATCCAGTAGAAACTGAGGAAGAAGGCGGTCAGTGTTTACAGAAGGCTGCCACTGCCGTACACACCCGTCCCGGATCGGACGGGCCGCGGAGGCACCAGCGCCGGGCCCGGGCTTGCGGGAGGCGCGGCCCGGGCTGACCATGCTCCCCTCACCCTGCAGAAATGGAGCAGTAATCCCTTTCGTTCAGGGATTTCTCCTTACGTCAGGAGATACCACACAGCCTGGGGCTGTGGGATGTTTAGCTCTTGGGTCAGTTCCACACTAAAACCCTTACGGCGGTCGGACTCCCCTGGGCACGACCCGGCCAGACCCGCTCCGGCCCCGCAGGGATCTCCGGCCGCGCCATGCCCGTATCCTGCTGTGCGGCAGTGACGCGCTCAGCAGCGCCGGCGGAAATCCCACACCGGGATTCAAAGCGCGCTCTCGGCACGCCCGGGGCGGGGGTTCTCATAGGCACTCCCATCGCCGCATGCCTGGGACGCGCCGACGTCCGGCTCGGGAACCGCAGGTCTGCCGTGAGGTTGCCGGGAGCTGCCAGAGGCTGCCAGGCTGCCAGGCTTTCCGGCGGCGGGAAGTGAGCACCGGAGCGGGCCCGCGGCCCAGGGAACCGCGGCCTCCGGCGGCTCCGGGGCTCGGGTGAGGCGGCCCCGCTGCCGGCACTGCCCTCGCACCCGCTGCCCGCTCGTCGGCCTCTTCATCTCTCCTCAGTGCCTCGCTTGGGTCTTTGAAAGGCCGATGAGGTTTCAAACGCGACAGATCCCTGTAGTTGTTCTGTCCGTGGTGTATGAGGACCTGTTGTTCGTACTGTGTGGCTTTCACAAGCAGCTGTTTGGCTTCGCCCCAGCCGAGACAGGTAAATCGGTGTGCGATGGAGGGAGGAGGCCTGTGCTCAGAGCCCCACCTGACTTGTGAGGCGCTGAGTGGGCGGGGGGGCTTGGGGAGGTGGCCTGTACCCCCTTCACCCGCACCAGGAATGCCAGCGCCGAGTGCCTGAGCCCTCGGGTTATGTGAATCCAATTTCCAGGTCGATGCCATTAGCTTTGCACGGCTGCCTTGCTCCTCAGTTTTGTCAAAATACTTTTCTTTGGTTTCATTCTGTAAGTGCAAAGTTTAAAGTGCAAAATTGTCACGCGAGCAGATATGCTCTGTACTTACATTCTCACTAGCTAGTATAACACTAACTGTTTTAAGATTAAGTTCACTTCTGGGCTGAAATATGTGTCTTGGGATTTTTGTTTTGCTCAGTCTGTAGCAATGGCTTCAGGAACAGTGCTGATTTATGATGAGGAGATGACCACCCACAAACTACTTTGGAGTGAGTAAGTCAATGCTGTTGTTTTTATGAATAGATTCTTACTAGGACTTGTGAGAGAAGTACCAACTAAATGCATTTTTTGTAAACGTATTACAGAATAGCTAGTGGTAGCTATTCTCCATTTGAAGAAAAAAAATATTTTATCCCTGATTTGTATCTAGATACTGTAATGAAAATCTGAAGCTGGATTTGAGAAGCTATAGCCTTCGGTCAGGGAGGTCTTAAAAAGTGTTAGCATGAGGCATCTGAGTAGGCCTCTAAATTAAGTATTTTAAGCTAATTAAATTGTTTATAAAGTTAAAGTTATTACTGATCTTGGAAAAAGTATGTAGATACACTCACTTAGCTGAAACCTGTCAATTAAATTCAGTTAGAAATTTCCGCTTGCTTAAATTTATGTAAATTAGACCAGTTCCTTTGCAGTGGTCAGGGTAACAATCCACTGTTTTCTTCTCTTCCAAACCTGCTTCTCCTCTGTTCACCTTCACTTTATTCTACAGCTTTTAATGTGAGCATTCCCATGTCTGTAGTTAAGCATTGTGACTTTCAGCAGTGAGAGAGGAAACAATAAAATGATGCTATTGTATGGGATGGCTTTTTTTAAAGAACTATTTTTTTGTTACATATTTTAGAATAAATTTCTAACTTGGTTCCAAAACAAAAAGTGGTTACGACTTTATTTTTCTTTTACTCTCACATGTCCATCTTTGAGGGTAATGAATCTGCTTAAAATGAGGAGTTAAAAGCTTAGGCTTTATGAAGTGTATTGTTACCTGGGCTTGTATAATATTATAGTAATATAATTATTGCATATTTTCAGTCCCATTTGTGATATTGAAGTGCCAGAAAGACTTTCATCCTCCTATGAGCAGCTTAAATGTTACCACCTTGTGGAAAGATGTGTCCATGTGCCTGCCAGAGAAGGAAGCGAGGAGGAGATCCTGTTGGTTCACAGGTCTGAAACTTAACTTTCATCATCATTCAGATTTATTCAATGAAACAGCAGAACTTGTACTTCCAGATCATATTTTGATCCATTTGAAAAGGGCTGCTCCAAAATTCAGTTACTTCCATTGATTTCAGGGGAAAATGTGTCACGCTGAAAGTTAGTTGAATAATGTTGAGTATGGTGTAGATGCTGAATTATGAATCTGCTATCCCACTGAATTCCCATTTTCACTCTTTGGGATCTTACGCAATGAATGCTGATTTATACATAGGAATAAAAGTAAACTTCTAAAAAAAACTGGGACAAGACCTTGAAAAGTGTAGGAAAATGGGTATTTCTTTAGAAAGATAATAATGTCTTCTTTCTTCTAAGCATCTTTGAGATAAAATGGACAAGACAGAAATATTTTGGGGTGGAGGGGTGGAGTTCAGAGGAACAACAGCCAGCCTATTCTGGGCAGTCATGGCAATGAAATCTGCTCTGGCACTTGTCACCTTGGTGTGATGGTTCTGCACCCAGCTGCAGATGATTCTGCATGTTGCTTGTGTGCTCATTTACCCTTGTCAGGGAGTAGCAAGGGCAGCCTTTTCCAAAAGGCAAGGGAGTTGGGAGCAGAGAGTGATGACAGAGCAGGCAGAGGCAATAGCTTTGTGGACAAGGCCACAATCCCACAATACCCAAGCAGGGTGAGCTGCACAGGTCCAGCAATGGTACCCGGATTCAGCCATGAGTTTAGTCTGCCCATTGAGGCCACAGTGGCACGGCAGGTTTGAAGTCAAGCTGCAGAGTCAGTGCACAGGTCGAGGTCCAGGTCCAGATTAATGGGGCTCATGGCCAAACACAGACTTTGCTACACAACACAGCTGCAGTGTAGCCAAGAGCAAGAGCCTTATCTTGGAGACAAGAGCCAAGGGAAGGAGGGGCAACATCTGCTGAGGCTTCTTAGCAGAGCTGTTTGGAGGGTGCCTCTGCTGAGATTCCTTCTAGTGCTCACTCTCAAGGTGACCAGCTGCACTGTCTCTGCTTGTTCTGGACACAGCAGCCAAACTGCAAGAGGGAAGGGATGCGCTCAGGGTCCTGACACCTATGACCAGGACCATAGCTTGATCCTAAGTCATTCTTGAATTTTCAGTTCCAAAACAGTATTTTTTCTGAAAACCATGCTTGTTAGACTGCAATTAATGCTGTGTACCAATATAATTTATTTTCATGGTAAATACATTACTGACTGGGTATGGAAGAGGCTTGATCAGTATTTCCAGTTGATTTGCTCCTACTAAATGACTGGGGCAAATCACTTCACTGCCTTGGTTTACACGGGTAAGGTAAAGAGCTCTTTCCTCTCTAAAACACTTTTTGATTGAAACAAATTTATAACCCTTCTAAAAATATTTTACTTGTGCCCACAGTTAGTTATGAGGCTGCTGCTGAAGTTAAACTAGTAATTATATAGTTATTCACGTTCATATGGTTTTATTCCTGTTAATACCTTCATTTTGAAGCAACTGTTTATTTCCATTAGGCAACACTAGCATGTCTCATTTTTTGTGAAATTCTGGCTACTTTGGTGTTATCCACCTAGAGGAATGCATATATGAATTAGGTCACAGATGGGATGCCATCAGCCTCCATTTCCAGCTCTCTGCAGAAAGGCAGGAGATCAGTGACAGAGAATTGAGGGAACATTGATGCTAGTGTCTTAGTTCTTGCTCCACTCTTGAACCAGTGAAAAGAGGGAGTTAGTGGACACCTAATAAGGGATTCAGTCAAAAGCTTGTTTTTCATAGAACAAGACAGAACTAGATGCATATTCTCAGAGTTGTAATTCACACTCTGATGACTGTCAAAATCACAGTTTGGTTCTTGTTGAGATGGTGTCTATATGTAGCATGGATTACAAAATAGATTGCTCCATGATGAACAAAGAGCCTTTTTTTGAAAGCAAGACTAATTGCTCTTACCACTGAAAAAGAGAAAAATGTTGCACTCCCAAGACATTCAAGAACCCTTGCTGTCATAGAGCTCCTTATTTTTTCACTGTATCCTACATCTAGCATTCCAGAGTACCTGTTGTACTCCTGAAGCCTCACAGAAAGCCCATTTTAACATCTATTCTGTTACTTCTTGTTGCATTCTACATAAAAAAAACCTTCTAGTTGTTTAGTTAAGTGTTGTGTTAATCTCTCTCTCCTCTACAGTTCAGAATATTTGGAATTGGCGAAAAGCACTGAGACAATGAATGAGGAGGAGCTGAAAAGAGTCTCTGAAAATTATGATGCTTTTTTCTTTCACCCGGTGTGTAAATTAAACTGCTTCCTCCCTTGGGAGGAAGTATTTGTGTTATTGCATCTGAGTGACACTAAGATGTCAAGTAGGGGAAAATTGGCAGTACAATTTTTGCTATTTAGTAGTCTCACATTTATTTATGATGTTATTGTTATCTGTTTCAAGTTGAGTATAATGCTGTAATTTAAATTGGTTAAGTGTCCTGTCATCTATTCGGTAATTGTATCATGTCAGTATAATGCACTATTCGAATTTTAGCTCTATTTTTGTCACTTAATGCCACTGTAGACCATTAGTGACTGTTAATCACATTTTGGTAAGAATTGCTCTTAAACGTTGTGCCAAGTAATGAAGATGAAGTCTTCTGTGTTTTGCTTCTGTGTGGTTTTGTTTCTTATTTTCAAAGGTACCATATTATTTTGCTCAATAGGCCCATCTCATGTTTCTTAACTGCTCCACAGAGATTATCCTAATAAAGGATAATGGTTATCATAGGTAATCCTAGTGGAAAACACATTGGAACCTGTGGTGTAAAGTCTTGTTTCAACTGCCTTCATACAGTGTCAGTTGGGTAGAATTGGCAAGACAATGTGCTGTTGGGATGCTAAAGCATGTGATGTGTGATTAGTTTAAGTTGATGAGTAATTGATGACAACTGTGGGTTTCTCTTTTTCAGAACACTTACCGCTGTGGCAGACTAGCAGTAGGAGCAACTTTGCAGCTGGTGGATGCTGTGATGTCAGGAAAAGGGCGCAATGGAATGGCATTAGTAAGGTAAGAAAATGTGTGAGCAAGTTTTCATTTCTTGGCAAAGTTTCTTTCGTTGTGAATAACTTTATAAAACTTTGGTTCAGACCTCCAGGTCACCACAGCCAGAGAAATGCAGCTAATGGATTCTGTTTGTTCAACAATGTTGCTATTGCAGCAGAATATGCAAAACTGAAATATGGACTACAGAGGTAAGTGCATGGTTGAGTCTAGAGAAGCCTTTCGTATGCAAATCACAGTTTGATATTGTACTGGTTTAGATTCTTGTCTAGAATGTTCTTTTTGGTTTGGAAAAACATTCTTCATTTGTACCTTCTGTACTGAATGTTTTCTTCCACTGAATGTTTTCTTTTACTGATCTATACAGAATCCTAATTGTTGACTGGGATGTGCACCATGGACAAGGAACTCAGTATATATTTGAAGAGGATCCGAGGTTTGAAGATTTTTATTTTTTATTTTTTTTAATGTTAGCTCTTTAAAGATTGTTTCCGTAGATTTTTTAAACTTCTAAAACTCTTGCAAAACATTTGCTTTGCTATTTTAGTCACTCTGGTTTTTTACTTGTTATAAAATAGAGGGAAAAATTTAAAATCCAGTAGAAGAGATTTACATTTTTTTTAAAGAATAAGAAACATAAAATGAGCAATATGATTACCTTTGTTTGCCAGTACTCAGGTAATATATCCATTCTCTGTATTTGTGAATCTCTCAGATAAAATCTTCAAGTACTAGTTGGATAAAATATGTGGGCTTTATATTGTTTTGGGAAAATCCACGTAAGTAAGTTCTAGAAACAAGTGTGCTGTTCTGAAAATTTTCTGAAAATTCCTTGTCTTATATGTATGTGCTTGATACAGATCAAAGACATTTTTATCAGGTTAATTTTTAGGTTAATTTCAGCAAAGGACCTACTGTACCGATTTTCAGAGTCTAAGTCCTTTAAGAGAACTAAGGAGAAAGGACAATTTTATTTTCTTGCTCTCAGGAAATGCAGTCAACAGGTTCAGGATATAAAGTAATTTTCAGAATCTTTTTGTCAAATTGGACTTATTTTTTTTTTATTTTCAGGGTTTTGTACTTCTCTTGGCATCGTTATGAACATCAGGAATTCTGGCCATCACTCAAAGAATCTGATTATGATGCTGTGGGTCTGGGAAAAGGAAAAGGTTTTAACATAAATTTGCCTTGGAATAAGGTAAACATTGTTTACAGCACAACAAAGCAAGGGCAATAACTTTGTATCTCATTCTTTATGTAACACTTTCTGAGAGAGTGCACTGCTTCACTTGCTTGGTAGATGTCTTAGCTGAGTGTACATCCTTCCTATCAGTGGAATGTCTGCTGAAAAACATGGCTCAGAATGTGATAACGTTTAAAAAATAGAGAGAAAAACTTACACATCCATTTTTACTTGAATATCTTGCTTAGCCATCAAATTGGAAAGTGTTTCAGGAGATAGTTACATCCATTCTTGTTTAGCAGAGAACTAAAGCTCATTCTTAGGATTAAGAATGGTGGATATTTATGTACTTTACTTAAGTGGAGTTTATTTTACTGGACCTGGTAAGATTCCTTAATCTTTAGCTTTTACTATCTTTCCCTAAGGTTTTGAAGGACCTTAGAAAATTTGTCATTCCAACGGGAAAATATAACCAGTATTTCTCATATTTTTCAGGTTGGGATGGGAAATTCAGATTATCTTGCTGCATTTTTCCATGTATTGCTTCCAGTGGCTTTTGAGGTAATTTTTTTTCTGCCAAAGACCGCTTCCTAAGTGCTTCTTAAGCAGGTACTCTTGAATATTTTATAGAAAGCAGTAAATGCCAGTAGCAGAGTTAACACATTATTTCTGCTGGTATGATGTCCTGGTGAACTGAATAGTGTTACAGAATTTTAGCTTTTAAATATTCAAAATAATGATCTGCAACTTCTCCAGCGGGGATGAAAATAGTGTAAAAGGGTAATTTTTTCAAGGAGAATCTTTATTAATGTTCATATTCTAACTGAAATAACAGTTGATCATGGTACAGTTGAAATCAGTACAAAATTGAAAATAGGACATAAGAATGTGCTACAACTATCTCTGTTTTATAACAGTTTGATCCTGAATTGGTTATTGTCTCCTCTGGATATGATTCTGGAATTGGAGACCCTGAAGTAAGTAACTTGTGGTTTTTGTGTTGTCAGTCACAAATCTGTTCAGAAAATATTCCTACCTCTTTATTCTCCTGTGATTCATAAGTGAAATTCGCTTTGATCAAGCTAAAAATACATGTTTGCGTCTTTTAAGCTGACCTGAGTTCGTGAAACACTACAACAATGTAAAGATAGATTGTCCTATATGTATATATATATATATATATATATATATATATATATATATATATATGGGTTTCATACCAATGTTTTTGATTCAAGGTTTCATTTCTTAAAAATTTTTCTTTGATTTAGGGTCAGATGAATGCCACTCCTGAGGTTTTTGCCCACCTTACCCATTTCCTGATGCAGTTAGCTAATGGAAAGCTGTGTGTCGTCCTAGAGGTAAAGACTTCTGAAATGTACTCCTAGGGGAAAGGTCTTTGAATAAGAGCCATTTAGGGCAAACTAGAAGCTAGGAAGCAAAATTTTTTTATGAAATAGTTCCTTTTTTTTTTGGTCTTTGTTTTGAGTATCAGGAATGCAAAAATGGCTAAGATTTGGCAGTGCTCTTATATCTTGAACTTTTGAAACAGAGGAGCCATATGCTTATCATTCAAAAAAAAAACATCTTTCTCAAATCTGTTCAGTTTTTGTGAACAGTTACTAGTCTACTGCTCTGGACAGTCCCAAACTCATTAAAATGTTTTTAGTGAATAGGCTGCATTACCAATGATTTTACAAATATATCTTATTCCAGGAGACTTTAACCTAAACATACTCTTACTTAGTAATGGAGCACTTACAAAATTCTCTTTTTTGATTAAAAGCCTCTATGCAAGCTCTTGAAGAGCTCTTCTTTATTCTTTTTTTAAACAATTAAAAATGTTTTCTCCTTTTGAAATCTAGATTTCAACTCTCTATTTCTGCTGTATATTAGAAAAATGGTGGCTTTTCAGGTAAATAAGTGTGTGGAAATATTGCTGCCAACACAGTCTCCAAGAATGAACTGCTTATTAGTTGATTCGGTTGAGCTTTGTTTTGTATGACCTTTCTTCCACCATCCTTCTTTCCAGCTGGTTGTTATAGATATTTTTATCTACTAGCTGAAGTGCAAATAAGCATCCACTCCTACTACAGATGATGTGACTGCTCCATAGGTGATTGATTGCTTCCTGCACACCACCTAGCAGTCTAAATCCATTTTGTTCTCCAAATTCTGCCAAACCATTAGGCAACCACATCTTAAAAGTGTCAGGCTGTGTGAGATTTTTCTTGTACAGACGTTTTAGAGGACAGTGATAGCATTTGCCTTCTAAGGAATCTTCCATAAGAATTGTTGAGGATGGCATTGTTGTGGATGGGAGTGGAGAAGGCATATGTTCCCAGGGTTTATACATCAAACTCATGACTAATTTCTGAAGTTATTTGAACCATGATAAAGTGAGTTGAATCCTGAGATGCCAGTGAAGTACAGCAGGTAGACACTATCTTACTGTTCTCATATTGAAAGTCATTGACTTAGACGTACTTTCATATTATATTCTGTTTCTGTAAATACAGAGATATTTCAAAAGTACAGTTTATTTTCTGGATATTCAGAGAGATGTTAAAAGTACTTGTCCCTTAGTTGACACAAAAAACTTTTTTTTTTAGGGTGGATACCACTTGAAATCATTGGCTGAATCAGTGTGCATGACTGTAAAAACTTTGCTTGGAGATCCTGTACCTCAAATAACTGGAGAAATGTCACCTTGTCTAAGGTAAGCATATAAAGAATGCTAGAACAACCCATCCAAGGAACAGTTTTGTATACTTTTCTTTCTGAAATTATTTCAAGTCGTGATATCTTATAGCATAAAACCATAAGCCATTTTATCCTTGGGCCTTGTTATCCTGTAGAAATCCATCTCACTGAAGGCTAAGACAATCCTGCTGTAATTATGGCAATGCCAATTAATGACAGGCAGTATTTGGGAAAGTATGCAGTTGCTAGGATTAGTTCTTCAGACCCCAGGGCCATTTTAATTGCTGTAGTACTGCAAGAGCTGGAGCTGACCTTTATCTCATTAGTGAGAGCTGATGCTGTGCAGAGCCAGACTTGATTAATCCTTGTGTTTCTAGGATTTGGAGCATTGAGGCTTTGGGTACAAAAGCACTTGATGGTGTAGAGCTGTTAAATTTCAAGTCTAACTTCTTTTTGGAGACACTAACACTGTGTTAATCTGACCTACTAAAGCATTCTGAACCTTGGGCCTAAATCAGTCCCACATCAAAATAGTGTCTTTCTCACTACCTGTCTGTACTACCTCCTCCATGTCTCCATATTCTGTCTTGAGTCTCTCTCCCACTTCAGTAGCTGCCCTGTGCTTTTTCCAGCAGTAATGCTCCTCATGCACTTGGGGGGCTGTGTTAGTTAAAATTCAGAGTTTGGATCAGCTAGGGAAGCAGTGCAGATACACATGGGCTGTGGGCTGAGTAGTGTTCGGTAAACTCATGGAGCAAAGCTGGTTATTTTGCTCTCAGCACATCCCATAGCCCCTGTGTGTCCTCTTTTTCTTCTCCAGCAACTGTGGTATCTCAGGTTGCTATCATCCTAGGTAATAGAGAGTTGGTTACATATTTATCCAATATATCAATCCAGCTCATGAACACCTTAAAAATAATCTCTTAAGTACACAGAATTTCTTCTGGATTTAACATGACTGGAATTATGTATGATAACTAACATAATAGGACCATTTGACCATAGTGCTGCAAATAACAGTGGTAATAAAAAGAAGATTTCAACACAAAGAATAGCAGGGAATGTGATTTACTTGGTTCCTGAACAGATTGTCTCGCATTTGAGTGAATCTAATTAAATCTTTACATTGTGTAGATAAAAGCTCTGACAGGCATTGAGAGACAGGAGAACTCAGACAGGTGTTCTTCTTCCAGCAGCAGGGTTGGGATTTCACTCGTGGTGTGTAAATGTGCATACATGCTGTGTGTGTTCTTCACTTTTTTTCTTTTTTGACTCTTAAATCTAATCTTTCCAAGCAATCTGCCCATTGATTTTCATTATTTTTCTGTTCTGCATTCTTGGAAAAGACTAGAGCGTGTTCATTTTCAGTTGGGTATTTTGGTTTTGTTTTTCTGTTGAGGTAAATTATATTTTCTTTGTTTTCATTATTGCTGATTCTGTTAATCTGGTTTCTTTTGTAGTGCTGTTGAATCTATTCAGAATGTGAGAGCAGCACATAAACCCTATTGGAAATGGTTGACGTATGAAGGTAATTTCTCTTTCCTCAAGCAAATGTGATTCGTACAGAAATTCAAAATTAATAAAATTAATACCAGCGGATTAAAATAATTGAACAAGCAGTTATTCATCAAGTGACTGACAAAGCATTGTGAGCAGACATTATGTCTGCTCTTTGTTTGAGGATGCCATTTTACGTGTCAAAAATATGGACATAAGATTTATTATCATTTATCACCTTTCACTAGATTAAAACAAATGCAGTAGCACTGAAAAAATGACATCTGTGGCAAGAAACATTGTAGCTAGTGCATGGAAGTAAAGATGCATACTATGAATGTAAATATACTCTTATTTTGTATACAAGCATATCCAAAAATTACCACATTGCTTAGGAATTTATACCTGTTTAACCTCTCTATTTCTTTTTCTCTAGACACATCATTTTTACAAAATTTGAGCACCAAATCACATCTACTAAAGAAGGCTAATTCAAATCCCTCCACAGAACATGACTCTAAGATAACTAACAGCGATGATACTGTCAAAGTAGAAAGGTTTTTGGAACTGCACATGAAAAATATTCTATTTCCAGTACCTCCCATCAAAACAGCAACAACTGATTCTACAGGTTTAGCTCATTTTCTACCTGTAGGTGTTCATTTGGTGAAGGAAATGGACAAAACTGAAATAAAAGTTCTTGTCAGGTTAGTCCTATTTATGTAATTTTCAATATAATTAAGATGTTGAGAGGTCTCTGTACAGAGTGTCATCTAGCTCTGTATCTGCCATGGTCATCTTTTGGGCCTTAGTCTCCTCAATTACAGCCAGAAATTCTTCCTTTGAAAAATTAAGGCATTTGTGTTTTTTGTCACTCATAGCCTTGAAATCCTTGGACTAATCAGAATACTTTTCTCTAAAACTATTCCAAGAGAGATAGGACAGCTAATGCAAATGTATTCATTTAGAAAGAGATTTTGCTAGGAAGGTGCCATAAAGCTCTGTAGTCGCTTTACCTGGAAAAAATATCAAACTGCTCTGTTTTGAGAAACTTGGCTTTTTGTCTTGTCTTAGTCTGATTTTGACAGAACTCTGTTTCCTCAATATCTTCAGACATTTTTGTTTTCTTTTCAGTGCAGAATGGAGACAGGTTTCTAGAGCTCAAGACTGTCAGGCCAACAGTGTTGTCATGTTCCTGCTAGAGCTAGGTTTCTGAGAACCAATGTGTAGCATCTATACAAAATGTATGCCATTAATACTAACTGCAAAGTATTTTACCAATGTCCTCTTTGAAGACATTATTGCTTCTAATCTAGCTTTTCTCCATATAATTTATTTTACAGTGGCTTTTATGCAGACCTTGTGAAAGACGACACAACTTTGCTCTCTCTTGGCAGTATGTTGGCCATCCTAGATAAAATACTTAAGAAAGAGGTAATAATACATCGCCTTGGTCTTGGGGTTAGGGGTAGAGTTGGATTCCTCTGATTTTTGCTTCTACTATATTGTTGTCCAGATCTTGGTTGCTGTGTATCTCACAAGTCCACTAATCTCAGCTGAAATGTGCTTAGCTATGAGAGTGATCATGCAAGAAGAGAAAACAAGTGTTTAGAGATGGTTGTTAACCACAATACATCTTTCTAATGATCTTTGGACAAGTCACTGTCCAGACTTTTTGTAGGTAGTCACAGCACATGAGTCACTAAGAACTTCTCACTGCTCTCAGACCTACAGGTCAGCCAGGCATTTACTCTTCCAGCTGAGGGGAGCAGAAGTTGGTGTATCAAGCACCAGTAAGCAGCAACAAGAAATCTGAGGAAATGTCAAAACTTTTTCTGTCTCAGCATGGAGAGTTTTGCCTTCTATCTTTAGGAGATTACTTCGGCATTACCTTTCCTTACAATATGCCATGTATGTGCAACATTGCACAACAGTTTACACAGAGTAAATCTTAATTTACATGTGTGCACATGCACACACAACATTTAGTGGTGTTTTCAACAGCTCTACTGTATGCTGTGATTCTGAACAGAGTAATTCCAGTTCAGCATTTTGATTCTTGCAAGGTCGGGAAAGAAGAGAAGGTAGGCTTAGAGGGTGCACATTTGTATTCATGTATAAAAACTTGGAGAAGAAAAAAAGAAAAACTGCAATCAAGTTAAAAATATTACATCATAGTAAAACACTCTCTCCCTTTGACTGAAAAGCTTTCTTTAAAGTACTAGGCCTGCAAGGAAGAGTAACTACCAGAATGGCTTCTCTCTTCTAAGCTATCTTCTTGCTGTTGGAAGTCACATATGTAGATCTGTAACGTCAAATTTCTGACGTTACAGACTGCACATAGCTCCAGGAGAGCCTATAAATAGATTTTTGAAAATGGTAACTGGCAGAAAGAATAGAACTTTATTGAGTTGCAGCTGGAAGTTCAACTTTTTGTGCTGACAAATACAAAGAGGAGGAATGAGGAGGGGAAACACGTTTTTTTGCTTAGCTTTCATGTAGAGTTCAAAGCACTACACAACACAGATGAACACTGAGTAATGAGATGACTGAGTAATACTGCAGTTATGTTTTCCAGAGAGGAATAGCTTGTTCAGGTTAAAGAAAGAGTCAGAATTAAAATTCAGGGACAACCTCCTTTTCATAGGGTGTATTTTTCCACTGCAGTTAGCCTACAGGCACACTGAGTGTATCCAATCTGCAGACTATCTAAAGAACCAGTAAAGATGGCCTTCCTCTGCAAAAGCTATTTTTACAGTTTCCTTTCAGCATAGCACCATACTTTTGAAGTAACAGTACAGCTTGTGTCAAATATGGGCTTTCTCTAGAAAATGAATTAATAACATTTTCTTAACCCTTCAATGATAGGTCATTAACATCCCTTGATACATATAAACAAGTAAAAAACCAGTTGTTACACTTAAAAAATGACATGTTCTTGTGCAACATTAACTGCTTCTGAATGAAAAATGTGTTTTGGAGGTACGTAATGGAATTGCAGCGTCACCTACACCTGCTGTTTCTGCTGCTGTTGCACTAAGACATTCTGTTCGTTTTGGATTTCAAAGGTGAATTTGTATCTTTGTGTTTGCAGCTCTTTGACAAAATGTTAAAATATGATACTGAGTGTGTGAAATATTGCAAAACCTTGATTTAAAAACAAATAATATGTCCATTTGCATTGTATTTTCAAAGTGTAGTCCAGATAATAGCATATATGCCAGCAAAAGCCTTT